GCCAGCAGCCACTGTGAGCGGCTGTCCAGCCGGCGACTGATCTGCCTTGCCCCGGAAGAGTGCAATGATGGTGCCAGCTTGGGCCAGTGAAGCGACATCCTCCACAACTAGACTGAAGAACAAAACAACAGCAACTTGTCTGTTCCCCTTCCCCCGATTCCCCAATAAAATCTTAAAAAATAAATAAATAAATAAATAAAATAAGTAACATTGAAAATCAATACTCTTAAGTATACATTCCTGTATGAGCCACTAGGGGGCAGGTAGTGTCCACAGCCAGGTCTACCATCCCCCTTCTGAACTCCAGTCTTGAGGGAGATAACCAACCCTTTTAAAACACCATTATTGGCTCTCAGAAGAGAGCTATTGCCAAGCTATTTCCATCAATTTACCTTCTTCACTCCTACTTAGCATTTCTAAATCAAACTGGCTCATCTGTCAAATCTTTTTCTCTTCCTGTATGTCCCTTCTTCCTACACAATAGCAAAATCACCCACCTAATTGCCTAAGAGGAAAACAAACAAACTTAGAAATAATATGTCATATATAGCGTACTAAAGCCTAGTAGAAAAAATTATGAGCTGTGGAGTTTAAATTCACTATGCAATACAGGACATTTTACCTACACTTGCTGGGCCTCCATTATGGTTTTTTTCCCCTCTACATCTTTCTTTTTTTAAAAATGTGTAAAGAGGTAATCAAAATGCCTACCTCTGGGATAATTTGAGGAATAACTGATGTATATTGCACAGTAAGACACTTGTGACTGTTAAGCACCACCCCCTTACCCTCTGACCCCACCCTGCCTGGCCCCTCACCCTCTCCCCATTGTCTCACCACTTGCTGCACAGTCCGTGCCACTGACAGAAATTCCCTGGAATCCTTTTGTCGGTGTTCCGGAAGAAACTCAATGTTGGTGATGCGAAACATCCCAACAAAGTAAAAGGCATCTTTGCTCTCTGTCTTACCTGTAAGACAGAGAAAAGGCAGGTAAGAGGCTTTCCCACCTGTGTGGGAATGAAGCATTGTCTGATCTATGTCAGTATCAGTCTCCTAAAAATGATTTTATTCTAGGCAACTATGTATTTTACTGGTTCACAACTTGTAAAGCCCTCAATGTAGTTAATAACATTTCTTCTATCAGTAGTAAACACCATATCCCTTAAAATATTCTATCAGCTTCTGACAAGTACTTAAGAACAATATTAAAAGGTTTATACCTGTCCTAGGGGGCCAAAAAAAGCAAATACAGTTTTTATGGATTCTGAGTCTATGGAAGATAAGGAGATAAAAAATGTATACCGTCAGGCTCTGTGGTGAAATGAGCTTATTGGAAGAAGAGGAAAGCTCCCCTCAGCAGGCCTTCACTGAGCTTGTCCTCTCTCTGACTTGTGTGGCTAATGCCCAGGATCCTGGTCCAGTCCTGAGCTCTGTGTGCTGTGCAGGGAGAATGCATCCTTCTGATGAGCCACAAACTGTGGTCCTCAGCCTAGTGTCAGGTTACTCCTGCTCAAATACTCTGCCCAGTCAGGACCATGGGATGGGGTGTCATGGCTGCCCAGAAACTTCTAACAAGACGAGCAAAGACAGCGCTATGTCTGAGTTGTCTTTAGGCACCTGAGAATAGCTTGTGGAAATGAGGGCTCTCCTGTCTGCCTTCTCTTTTGGTTACCAACATCTTATTGCTATGCAGCACAATCCCCCAGGCTGTCATGGCTGTGGTACATTTTTTTCCTATTGCACCTGTCTTGCTGCATCATAAGTTCTGTCTGCATGTCTGTCCTTCTAGAAGAGCAGTAACTTCTCAGCCCCTAATATAGTGTAGCGAGTGCCTGGCTTCATTTTGAAGTTCAGTAAATGTTTGTGGGAAGGAAGGGAGAGAAGAAGGGGGGTAGAGGAAGACAGGGAGATAATATTCTCTCTTAGCACAATACCCAGTACATGGAAATGCTAAATAAATGATGACTGAATTAAAAAGATGGTGCATGGGTATCATGCTAAGTGAAATAAGTCAGGTGGAAAAGGACAAGAACCAAATGATTTCACTCATATGTGGGCTATAAAACAAAAAGCAACAAACGAACAAACAAAATAAACAAACTCATAGACATAGATAACAGTATGGTGGTTACTAGATGGGAATTTGGGTGAGGGAAGGATGAAGAAGGTAAAGGGGGTCAAATATATGGTGACAGGAGGAGACTAGACTACTAGACTTTGGGTGGTGAACACATAATGAAATATATAGATGATGTATTTTAAAATTGTATGCCTGAAACTTATATAATGTTAGTAACCAATATTACCCCAATAAATCTAATTTTTAAAAAAGGAAGGTGAAAGCTGTGTGGGTGATAAGAAGCAGCCTCCCTTATATGACTCATCCAGGGTCACATCAGCTGCAAGCAGGGTAGCCAGGCGGGAGTTGGGGAGGGGAATCAAGGAAGGGTCAGAAGACCTGAGCTTCTGTCCTAGATTTGTCCTTTCAAGTTATGTGACTTTGGACAGATCACCCTGCCTCACTAGACCACTAGACAAAGGTTGTTTTTGTTTCTGATTTACCAAAGAAGCATTTCTTGGACTTTTTTCTTCTTCCCCTTTTAGACTCTTACAAATTTGAATAGAGCTATGACTTCTATCTAGAAGCTCATACCTCCTTCTGGTATCAGTAAGTACTTATGAGTCAAGATCACAACAATGCAACAGAGATCAATTTGGCCTTGACCCAGATTACATTTACCTGTAGCTCATCCCAGTATACAAGACCCTGCATGATCTCCCTGATGATCTGTTCACCTTATTTCTCAAGGTCACCCTCCACACCCAAATTTCATGTATCAAAACTAACCTGTGTTGTTTATTGAACAATTCTTGCTTGTCCATACCAGTTTCCATTTGCTTATACTGGTCCGTCTTCCTGCAATGCTCTTCTCTGATTTTTACACAGCCAAAAAATGACTTCTACACAATGTTCCAAAACTTTATACAAAAATGCTAGGGCAATGCAAAGGTATCAGTTAAGGGCTGGCAGAGAACTAATGGGAATTAAATTGTTTTGTTGAGTTGCAGTTGTGTGTCTTTTGTGTGTTGTCTTAATTGCCCATTGACTTGACTTCCCTCATTAGTCTATAAGGACAGAGATTCTTCCTTGTCTACCACTCTGTCCTCAGGGCTATCACAGGCCCAGCTGGCATTCCAAGTGTCAAATGAATTTTCAGGAACCAGTTGATGAAGCCTTACTCTGGACTCCATTTGTGGGCAGGTTGGATGACTCCCTTCTTTGATTGCCAAGTAATTACTTAAACAAACAACCAAACAAAAATCACCTTCCTCTCTCTCTCCAGCACTGAACTGTGAGGTTGTTGAAAGTAAAAAATGCATCTCTGAGCTTTTTGAAGATAGGAGAGGCATTTTGGTATGCCTGATGTCTTACATTGTGCCACACAAATTATAGGTGATGGATTTGTATATATGACCCGAACTGTTCAAGACAATATACATTAATTCTTTGCCTATAAATCTTGCATTCCAACCAAATTTTAATATCTTTGAGAGAACACATATCTTGTATCAAATGTATTAAGGTGTATACTGTGGGAAGTCTAGCCTAAGTCAACAAGTGCTATAGTTGCTGAGCTGCGTGGGTTCATATTCTCTAAGGAAGAATTTAGTTGACTCCAGTCCAAAAGGATCAATCAGATTGACAAATACATAAAAACAGAAGAGAGAAAGGCACATGAGTAAAATGAAGCCCAAGGAGTTAGAATATAAGGTTGCCTAGAAACGAGCAGTGGGTGGAATGAGGAAGTGAAACAGCTTAGCATTCTATTCTATTTTTTAAAGCTAAAAATGGATTACATTTCAGAACTAGCCAAAATGTGCTCCTGAGCATTGTCCTCAGCTTTTCTCATCCCATTCCCCATCTTTGCTCCTCTTGCTTTCCTAAGGGAACAAAGCAGTGGTGGGAAAAAAGAAATGGGAAAGACAATTCTCGTTTCTTTCTCCTTAAAACCTCAACAGTTTTGGAAATGGCTATTAGTCTGGGAAATAGGAAAATTCTCTCAGAAATACCCAGGGGCAGATTGGGCCTGCATTTCTTCTGCTGAATTCACAGGACAAGCCCTAACCCCAAAAGAATACAGATTTTAACTCACGGATGTAGAGCCACAGAAGTGTCCAGGCTGTGACCGCTAGGATGAACAAAAATACTGTGAAGAGAATGATTTTATTTTGGACATTCCAAAAGGGAGCTTTCTTCTTGAGTTGCTTCTTGGGTTTGGCTTTGCTGATGGGTTTTCGAAGTGGCCGTCTCCCTGGTCTCACTGGTCTCACTGGTCTCACTGGTCTCACTGGTCGTACTGGAAACTTCGCCGGGGCACTGACCACCTGAACTGAGATATTGGATATCTTCAAAAAAAAAAGGAAAGAACGAAAGATATATTATCGATTAGAAGTAGTCTAAAGCTTAACTGGAACCACTTAGTAAAGAGAATCTTGGTGGTAAAAACCCTAAATATGTTGGACAAATAAATTATTTATATAAGTGTACCAAATTGACTTGCATTGAATCACACAATTAAGATCAGAAAAAACAAACATTACAAGAACTCTAGTGAAATGGTTCCCAGGTCCTCTCCTCAACTCCCTGCTTCTGCTAAACAGATACTGTAGAAGATAGCCCTGAATTTCATGGAGTGTAGACTAGAGGACTTGGAGATTAGGAGGTTAGGATTCCATGTGGGTCGATTCACGTGTACACAGCTGTGGAGATGTGTGTGCTTTTAAAATGTTTGTATTATATATTTTTTTCTCCCGCAATCAACTTTTTCTGGGCTGAAAAAGGATTGAAAATAATAATATATGTGGGGCTGGCCGAGTGGCTCAGTTGGTTAAGAGCGCGAGCTCTGAGCAACAGGGTCTCCGGTTCGATTCCCACATGGGCCAGTGAGCCGCGCCCACGCTGAGCTGCCGCTGAGCTGCCAAAGGATGGCCACATGGAATGGTGGGCTGCGCCCCCTCCTCCCCCACACCTAAGATTGAACACAGCACCTTGAGCCGGTGAGAACACCTGCTGTTAACAAGAAGGTTGCCGGTTCTACTCCCACATGAGATTGTGGGCTGCGCACCCCCGCAACTAGATTGAAAGCGGCGACTGGACTTGGAGCTGAGCTGGAACCCTCCACAGCTAAGATTGAAGGACAACTTAACTTGGAGCTGATGGGTCCTGGAAAAACACACTGTTCCCCTTCCCCAATTCCCCAACACTCTTCCCTTCCCCAATTCCCCAATAAAATCTTTTAAAATAATAATAATAATATATGTGAGTTCCTCAGAGAAATTAGTTGATTTCCTAATTATGGATTCATAATAAAGTGGTAGGAAAAAAGAGTGAAGGGTGATTTTGTGGTTTGTGTAGGGCTGTAGGATAGGGGTCAAAGTGTTTGTTTCACCATTGCCTTATGTGTGTGCACTTTTAAGCCAGCCACTGAAGTGATCAGTGACTGAGTTTCTCAATCACAAATGAAAGAATAATTTAAGAAAAAAGACTGAAATAGAGGGCTTACATTAGAAAATTATTGGTTTTAGCATATGGATGTGCTAAGTGTTATACGTAAGAGGAAAAAAATACATTATTTAACTGTTTCCCCTTCTCTCTTTTTTCCTCCTCTACCCTCTGCCATTTGATCCTGTGAATTCTTTAATAATGTATTCGAGAGTTTAGCTTCTTTGAAGGAGAGATTTATACATGTCAGAGTAACTAAACTCCAGTGATGAAATGACTTTTAACCACACATTCTTTTAAAGGCAACACTCTAGAACACCAATTCCAAAGAAATAATCTCTCTTTTGAGCTCCACTAAGAGTTCTATCATTCTCTCTCGCTCTCTCTCACTCTTCCCTTCATAGTACATGCCTTCCTGTCTTTAATCCTACCAATTAATGGAATAATATGTGGCCAAGTGCATTCTGAATTATTGATGGCTCCCTCATTCTTTTTTGCCAAACACCCTTGTCAACCCCTGGGGTGAAATGTAGCTTATATCTCTCCTGGTGAAATTGAACTAGACCAAGCTTCATTTAATGTGATGTCCTGCAGGAGTGAGGATGATGTTTCTAAAGAGAAAAACATTCCATTGTAGGATGAGTTGACTATGGTGTCAAGCTACTTTCAAATATTTCCCCCAAATAAATAAAAACGGGAAAACACACAGAAATGCTAGCACACGTAGAACTGACAAGGCCAAGGTTGGTCTTTAAGTGCAGGAAAACATTATAGGCAGTCTCAGTTAGCACTGATTAAATTTTAAAATGGAATTTGTGTAGAGATCAGTACAATTTCCCTGGAGTTTTAGAAAAACAGCTGCAAATCAATTGCCAAGTGCAGCACTTTAAAACAAGCCCACATTTGTAAAATCCATTAAGTACTATAGGAAGATACAGTCTTCTATTATCATTGTCCTTATTTTTATAAAGTCACACGGGCTCATTTTACTAGCAAGCTCAACAACAAGTAGCATTCAAGTAATGGAGACAGCTTCCCGCACTGTACTTACATTCACATCAGCAGGTTTGGATGAAACATCACTGTTTTCTTTGTCCATTTTTAGGTGTTCCACATGTGAACATCCAGAAGTGTCTCAAAGCCAGTTTTCACCCCCTCACATTCTCGCTTGAGAAGAATTGGTTGCCGCATTCAAGCTAGCTTTCAGAGGAAAGGAGTCAATTTACCTCCACTGGGTCCAGTTCAGAAACTGAAGCTGCCTCATTGCTATATAGGGAATGTTAAAGGGACCTAGCAGTCAACTTTGCCCCTCAAACTAAAGGTTTCTTAATGTAACTCGATCAGTCAGGACCCTCAGGGCTGAGCCTCACATGGACACAGTCCAACCACCCAAAAATATTCACAAGTCTTTAAAATTTTTGCCAGCCTCTGCTAAAGAATAATAAGAGATCTAATTTATAACCCTCAGCTCTGCTTCCTATAAATCCCCACACCCTCACTTTTCTAGCTCCAGAAACTTCACTCTCTAATGTAACTTTCCATTTTCCAGCTACCCTCTCTGAAAACCCCATCTAAGAGGGTATTTTTTTTTCCTTTTTTCTCCCCCTCCTCTTGAAATCCTCAGTAAACCCAGGCCCTTTCGGATAAAAATCCCCTGTTCCCGTCTCTCCCACTCTTCCCCATGTCAACCTGAGTTAGAGACAAGCTGGGAACAGGAGGGTAATCATGAGGGTTAGTGTCAGACATGAGACAGAAAAAGGCTGGGACTGGTCCCACACTGGTCCTACACGTCTCTTCCTTGGGACATGGCCTTTTTCCCTTGTTGGCACCGGGTGTCAATAGAAAGCTGATCAATCACCTTTGAAAGGAGGAAACATTGCTATGCTGATCTAGACACAAACTTTGTCATTCAAAGCCATGTCATAAAAAAGAAAGTGAGAAACTGCCACTGAAAGTGGTGAAAGACTAGGGAGTAAAGACAGAAAGACAAACAAGTTATGTCATATTATGCACATTTACTTCCTGGCTTTTATTCTTTATTAATATCACTGACGAAATGACTAATGATGATTTGGGCTTTATAATCATAAGATTGGGATGTTTAAAAATGAAGTCCTCTTTAATTGCCCATCTTTTCTGTATTATTTCCCTTGTTTCTAGAGCTACCTATTTCACGAATATATGTCCTAGGCAGTTACCACTGACAGAGATTCTCTTCTTGAAAGTCAAATTTTCAGGACTCTTCTGAGCCCTCATCTTGACTAGGCCTCATCCTTGGACCCTGACCTCCACCACCTGCCTAGCCCAGCTATAGCAAGAATCCTGCTCTCAGTTTGGTGAGAATCTCCACCTGGATATCTGATCAAGTTCCTCATACCCTACCCTTGAAGTATAAATCTTTGGCCTGCCTTTAGCAAGAACTCTCCTCCTAGTGATGTCTCCTCTTAGTAATTGTCCACCAATTGGCCCCCTCACTCTACTCATTGGCCATAAAACAACAGTTGTCTTTATTATATTTGGAATTGAGCTAAGTGCTAAGTTCTATTATGAAGTGTCTACCTTATTGCAATAGTAGTGAATAAAATCTCTCTTTACAGCCTTACACTGTCTAGCTTTGTTTTTCTTTGAAATCATCAAGAATGGGAAGGCGCAGAAAATCATAGGAGGCTGCACTATATGTAAAGAACTTAAAAACAGTTATAAAGCCAACTAAAGGCTGCTTTTCTATTATCACTACTCACCAGCAATTCTAAATAATGTCAGTGATAAAATACTCCTCTCCAAAAAGACTCTGACTGGTATAGGTTTTAACAATTGCTGCCATTACAACTGAGTTTTAATTATATATATATATATATATATATATATATATATATATATAAACTTCAAAGGAGCATATTTTTATTACTCATCTTTTAATAAGTAATGAATGTTATGTAGAAGTTAAGAAGTATACAAAGCAGGAACTGCAAGGTGTAATATTTTATGTATAATATTTTGTATGCCATATTTACTTGGTTAATTTTATTTTTACTAACATAATTATACATACAAAGTTGAATAAGTTTTTTCACTGTGTTTTTCTAGCCATTATTATCAGTTATTTTATTTCATGATTATTACTGGAAATGTTTTCATTGTATAAAGATGTCAGTTGTTAAAAATGACACTGTCTAGATCAGGGGTCGGCAAACTGCAGCTCGCGAGCCACATGCGGCTCTTTGGGTATGTACATGTGGCTCTGAAGTCAAACTGAAAATGAAAATAAAACTATCATAGTTTAATTTATAAAGTTTTTAAAGGATATTATTCACATAATGGTGATTTCATTTGTTTTATGGCTTTTGAATAATTTGTAAATTGTTGTGAGAGACAGGATTGGCTCTTCCATCTCAAAAGTTTGCTGACCCTTGGTCTAGCTCAGCGGTTCTCAACCTTTCACAGGGGTCGCCTAAGACCATCAGAAAACACAGATTTTCAGTGGTCTTAGGAACCAAGATATCGCTCCTCTATCCATCTCCAGGCCCACATGCAGATACGCCCACATACGAGTACCCGGCGACCCCTGTGAAAGGGTCATTCGACCCCCAAAGGGGTCGCGACCCACAGGTTGAGAACCGCTGGTCTAGATGGACAGATGTATGACAAAGTATAACAAATGTTAATGGTAGAATCTAGTGTGATATATGTTTATACTATAGAATCCTTTCAACTATAGTTTTTAAACTTTTCTTGATAAAATGTTGGGGGGGGGTGATTATCATCTCCAGGAGTCAAATACTCTAGATAAGCCACGGATTTGAGAGGCAATCACAGAAAAAGCTAAGGTATAGGATAAAGTCTTGATGAATGAGCGTGCATACATCTCCTTGTTGCTTTCACTCACATGAAAATTCTAGTACAGAACCTCTTCAACCCCAGAACATATGACCAAAGACAATCACAATGACCAGATGTAGGCTGGTCCTTCCCATCATAAACAGCTTGAAATATAGTAGAGAGCTTTTTATTTCTTTTCCAGGAACAAAGGCCCTGTGCTGAGGGAAGTGGGGCAGGTGTCTACCTGCCTGCCAGCTAAGCAGATAGCATGCAGTGACCTGGATCAGAGGAGAAATACCTTTCCATTGAACTCAGCAGTGATCATCAGGAGCACAGAACTTGCCCAATAAATCAATTCAACACACAAAACTTTCTAAATATTTTAACCTTCTGACTCAAAGGTGAGCCCAGAGCATCTAAAGGCCTAGAAGTAAGGCCAAGACACCCATCTAATCTGATCCCATGGCAGAAATATACTTAGCAGGATGTGACAATTCCATCCTTGTCTAACCAGAGGAGAGGCCAGCTCTCCCATAACTGATAAACTTCATTTCTGCTACTTAGACCCACTTCTCTCTATTATGATAAATGATCATGTGCAAAGTTGCCATCTGATCACCACTCATCATTGAGCCCTCTGAAGAGGGGAAGTGAATCCTAAGGAATCACAAGGTTGCACAAGAGCCTGGGAAGCCAGCCAACCATTTAACACTACCACTCTCAGTGTCCTATAATAAAATGACATGGCCCTGATCCTGGCTTCCCTTTCCCTGCTGACTCACAGGGAGCGTGATCCTAATCCTTTGTGTCACATCATATGGATCTTTTTTACAGCATGAAATGATAGGAGGCTTCTTAGAGAACCCCTAGTTCTATTTTAATATCCCCCTCACTGGTTTTCCTCCTGTAGGCTCATCCTTCCATGTACATATCACTACTAACCAAACCTTAAAATAACTGTAATGTCACCTTCATCATTGACAATTGCAGCCCAGTCTCCTTTTGTTCAGCCTCCTTAGCCTGACAAGGTCTTCCTCAGTGTGACACCAAGCTACCTTCCTGTGTCCTCCTGTCACATTTACTAAATCTGCTTTTTCAAATTATGCATTTTCAATCTTTATTCATTCATGTACTCACCCATCCATCTGTTTTCTCAACATTTATTGTATGCCTATCATGTGACAGATGCCAAATATTTTTTAAATGAACAAAATATATCATTGCTTTTAAAAAGCTCTCCATAGAGAGGGAAGACATGCAAACTACCAATTGCAATATTATGTAATAAATGCCATCAAAGAGGTGTCAACAAATGCCATAGAATCATAGAGGAGGCTGATATTAACAGCCCATTCCTCTGAACCTTAAGCCCCCAGTCCACATTACATTATTCAAACCCTAGCCACTTTCAACACGGTACTTGTAGCTCTCCTGTGAGTTTTTCCACTCCAGCCTGCAGTATTCTCTTTTCTTCCCTAACTCAAAAGCTTTATTGTACATACCACTATGTGAGAATTTAATAATGTTATAATAATTAATACTACCTTATGGAATCTCTCACGTTGTCTTGGTTATTTAGCTTTGTCATATGTACAGCCTATCTCCAAGGTCCTTGAAAACATGTTCCCTGTATTAGCCTTTTTGAGGCCTGGGGGTGATAGCCCCTTGAGGAATTAGTTGCATCTTGGATTGTTTTCTCCTTATTTACAAGCTAATAAGCTTGCCTGTTACTATTTCATGGATTGTGGCAGAAGACATGACTACGCATGTCTGCGTTGGTTCCCTTCTTCCCATAAATCCCACAGGAATGACACAGATAAATGCAGTGGGCTTACATGATAGCCGAGGAACATGGAGCTTGAGGAATCCACCATTTTCATAGCATGCAATAAACAAACCTGCCCATTGACCAAGATATTACCTCATCCTTCAAGTTGCTCCCTAAAAACAGAACCAGAGAAATGGCCAAGCTAGAGAGCAGTCAGGGCATTCTTTTCATTCTTTTCAGGGCATCTATTTCCTGGGGTTCCCATGATAAAGTACCACAAATGGGTTTAAAATAACAGGCATTTATTGTCTCACAGTTCTGGAGGCTAGAAGTCCAAAATTAAGGTGTCAGCAAGTCCATGTCTAAAATATGTAGAGAAGATTATTTCCTTGCCTCCTCCTAGCTTCTGGTGGTAGCTGGTACTCCTTGGTGTTCCTTGATTTTTAGCTACAGCACTTCAGTCCTGCCCCTGTTGTCACATGGGAGTCTCTGCTCATTTGTCTCTGTGTGTCTTCTCTTCTTATAAGGATACCAGCCATATTGGATTAAGGGCCCACTCTACTCTGGCACTACCTCATCTTAAACAACTACGTCTGCAATGACCCTATTTCCAAACAAGGTTATATTCTGAGGTAGCTGGGAGTTAGGACTTCAGCATATTTTTGGGGGGGACATAATTAAGCCAGTAACATCCTGAAAAGACTGCAGGAGTAGGAGAGGCTATTAGAGGATTGTCTCTTTCAACCGAGTAAACTTGCTTCTTATACACAGCACTGCAAAAATTCTAAAGCCTGGTGATAGTCTGGGGCAGCTGCAGGTAGCTTTCTAATCATGCTATCTGGATGTTATCCTGAAACCCCACCATACTCTTCTGACTCCCTTTCCATCCATGGTGAGGAGGGTGAAGGATTGAAGGATGGTGCAGTGTGGCTGAGTCATGGTCCAGGGGGAGTCATTACTACATCGTCACAGTCAGCATGTCAATCAATAATACCAAGGACAAATGGTCAGAGGAAATTGTCCTGCATGAGACCGTAAATGGGAGAACAAGGGGGTGATAGCTTATTTCTCTTTTCCTTCTAGTTCAGTGGACACATTAAAGAGGCTTCTTTTCCCTTTTTAAGTACCAGGTAAAAAGACTGCTCAAGTCACTATAAACTGTGGTTGAGCTGAGGCGAACTTGGGTAAACTAGTTCAGAGGTCATTCTACCACATGTCCTCACCAGAGAAGCCCCAGAGGGCCCAGATCGGCCCAAGTTCGTGAACAGCACGCTCACAGAAAGCCATCAACATATTGAGCCTGCAAAGCATCTGGCTCGCTGTAGGAGCTGAATCAGCTCAATATTTGATGAAGGAATGAACCTGCTGTACTAAAAAAGTATTGACTTTGGAAATTATGCAAAAGTCACTAGATTACAAAGGAATGCTTTTTACAAAAAAAAAACCTTTAAAAATCAGATTAATCAGATTGAAAGGATAGGGCTGGGGAAATGACAGAATAATGAAAAATGAGAACATTTATGATACAATGAAATAAAACAGATGAATCAAATGAACTTGGTACAGGAAAGTACAGAGAAAAGGGAGAAATAAAAATAAGAGGAGAAGAACACAAAGGGCAGTGATTCAGCCATTTTAAATGTGTATGCCCTGGCTTCAATTGGCCCAGAGAGCATCTTGCTTCTTAGCAGAGTCCAGTCCCGCCCTGCTCCACCATTTAGCTCCACCAATTTCACTCTGTTGTGCGGTTCCATGCTCTGGCGCCCTTTGGAGTTTAGCCACCTGTCATACCAACTTCCCCACAGGCTATGTGCATATCCTGGAATCTGAAATAAATACCATTTAGCTATTTGTTCACTATCTTAACTCATTCCCAATTAGAGGCCTCAGTGGCCTTGATGTAATGTATAAATGGCAAATGAGAAATGCCACAGTTTATGTTCTGGTTATTTCTGTCAAAGGTTCGATGCTTTGGAGCACAGCTAAAATCCAGGTAAAAATTTTAGTGATCTGGTGAAACAAAAATCCTACCTTCCCAAGTCCCTCAGCCCCCAGAAAAGTATTTCAGAATTAATTAGACCCTTTCTACAAAGAGTGGTTTGGCTCTCCAACATTGTCTCCCCTAATTGAGGAAGTTATATAGAGCTGAAGCAGGGTTTTGTTTGTTTGTTTTGTTTTGTTTTTCAGTTA